TAACAAATAGTTCCATGCCTAGCTGAGGGAACCCAACACGATAGAACGCCGAACCCTTTTTTGTGTTTGGTGACATAAAAGAAAGAAAATTATTTGGTATGTGGAATGTAATGGCGAAAAAATTAGAGCCAGTACATCCACAACGCTAGGCTTTGAATACCCGAGAGCAAAAGTTTGAGAGACAAATTTTCAGGAACACAACCGGAGCGACTTAGTGCTGGTGGCTGTGGTTATGGTCATGACTGTGGTCGTGACTGTGTTCGTGCGCATGAGGACTGGAAGGGCTGTGCGACGATTCACTGGCTCGTCTTGTAGACGAAGCCTTGGATGAAGAGTCGGCTGGACAACAGCCCTGCGCCTGGCAGTCGTCGATACACTCAAGGAGGCAACTATCCCCCTTGTTTGAATCAACCACGCCATCGAGGGTAAGAGCAGCAGCGTCGGAATCGTGAGCGTGCTTCGAATCGAAGCAAAACTCGGGTTGTATAGTAGCACTGTGAATGCCGAAACCGTGGAGGCACTTGCGAGCGCGACGAGCCAACTCCATGTACTTCTCACCGCTGTGGGAGTCAATGGGGAAAGAAACCTGGAGGTGCATGCTGGCGACGAGCTTGGTGTCTGAGAGCTGCCATACGTGGATGTGGTGGCAAGTGATGACACCAGGAAGAGCCTCAATGTCCTGTCGAATCTCAGGGACGCTAATATGCTCGGGGGTAGCCTGCAGAAGAACGCGCGCAGTACCTCTGGTAAGAGGAATACATGTCTTGAGGATAATAGCAGTGATAAACAGGGAGACAGCAGGATCGGCGTAGACCTTGCCAGGCCAGTCGGTAAGCCAGATGATAAGAGCAGTGACCATGACACCAATGTTACCAAGCATATCGCCAATGACGTGGAGAATCATAGCGTTCATACCCATATCAGCGTGGTTGTGGCCATGGCTATCCTTCTTCTTGGCATCCTTGGGGAGAGTGTGGTGGTGACCTTGGTGAACGCTCGAGTCTCGTCGAGGCCGTCGGGAATGGGAGTGAGAGTGCGATCCATTCTTGCTGTGACCGAGAGATGAGCCGTTCTTGGCAACACCCTTGAGAAGAGGTGACTCCTCGTTCGCCTCATCCTCTTCCAAGATCAGGGAGTTCTCAGCATCAGTTTCGCTCTCGCTGGTGGCTCCATTGGCCTCTCCTCGGGTAGCTTCGATGATGCTCTGTCGGAAACTTGCGGGGTGAATGCTCAAGTCGTCGAGACTAGCGAAACGAGAATGTCCACTCCTACTGGATCGATGATAGTCGCGGCCTCGGGAATGTCGGTTTGTTTCGTTCGATTTACCGTTGGACTTTCGGGATGCGTTTGCGCGTTGCATAACAGCCTCGGGGAGAACCTCAGCGGCGCGGCCGCTTTCGTCAGCAAGAGCGCCGTGGTAGCCGGCGTTGCCCTCCTCCGCATCGTGGACGTGGGAATGTCCGTGATCATGATCATGGTCGTGGTCATGCTCGCCCGGTCCGTGGGAGTGACCGTGGCCACCGAGGACGAAGAAGCCGACAAAGTTGGATAGTAGACCGGTAGTACCAACGATGAGCATGAGCTTGGGGTTGTCGATCTCCGGGGGTTCGATGAATCGGGTGAGGGCTTCGAGGACGATGGAAACGCAAAGAGCGATAAGGAAGACGGCGTTGAAGAAGGCACCTAGAATCTCGGCGCGAACCCACTGGAAGACAGTTAGCCATGCGATTCGACATTTGAAGTTGTTGCGACAGGACTTAAACGTACGCCAAAGGTGAACTCGTCAGTAGATGTCTTTTGCGCGGCAGACACAGCCCAGAGACCGATGACCAAGGAGATAATGTCATTGAGCTATGCAGAGTTAGTTTTCGTCTGTTGATTGGTTCGCGCGTAGTGCGACGAGGAAGTCAATTGACGTACCATGTGAAAGGCATCGGCCATAAGAGCAAGAGAGTGGGCAAGGAAACCAGAGACGATCTCGACGAGGAAAAAGACAGTGTCGATAGCGATCATGACCTTGATCCTGGTGCTTTTGGACCAGGCCATCTTTTGAAGAATACCCATGATGAAATAGACGGCCCAGAAACAGAACAAAAAATGAAGAAGAAAAGTGGTTGTGTTGATGAAGATGGAAAAGAAAAAAAAAGCTGGAGGGGAATTGCGATTATGGGTTGATCTGGGCCTGGCTGGGTTATCCTTATTCTAGGTATCTGCGGGCCCCCTCAAGGAGAGAGATAGACAAAGAGTGAGAAGATTTCGGGTCACCCAGTCTAGTTAGCACATGTACCGTAGTTTTTAGGTACTATAGGTAGGTCACTACTATGATGGAATGCGACTGTGGAGGCTGATCCCTGGAGTAAGGGAGAAGTTAAGGCAAGGGTTGGTTACGCAGTGGTTAGAGGGTATAACTCCGAGTGACACAGACGATGAGAGAATAAACAAAGGGGAACAGAAAAATGACGAGGGTTTGGTATAGTAATAGAAGAAGAGAGGAAAGAGATTGAATTGAATTGAAAATTTATGCCAAAGCGCTGATTAATTTATTTGAACAGTTCGTCAAGTAGTGGCAAAGTTTACTCAGCGTTGATCAACGATACATGAAATCTGATGCAAGCAATTAACACTTACTTAGCACCTACAGAACCAAAGAAGTACTGTACCTACAGACGGGACACATTTCTTAGTTGCAGCTAGGTAAGACATCATCAGTCTAGTTCGAGTTGGGGCAGCCGCAGTAGCCGTAGCTGGGAGCTATCGAACCTACAGCACTCCTAGCTCGGTACAGATACAGTCGCTCGTTTATAAAAAGAAGCTTTGGATTATTGTTACGGAAAACTCCATCTTTGAAACTTCACAAAACTCCACTAGAGGTAGAAGTGAAGTGGTTCGATAACAATGTCACTGTAGCAATTACTGGACATGTTACGTGTGTTACGAAACAAGGGACAACAAGCATTGATCATCGTTTCGGTTCGGGGATATTTTAAGCAGAGTTCGCGAGGCAGAGAATCCGTTCTGCCGGTTCGGCATTTGATCCTCTCTTGGCCATCGGTTCATCACCCACCATTTGAGTCTAGACACCGATCTTGGGAATAGTTACATCCCAATATATGGCTCTGTTCATTTATACAAGATAAGGCATTAAGACTTTATTTATGGTAGTCGGTAATATTAGACTAATTCTCTTGCAGCATAGCTTCGTATCAAATGTCTTGACTACCAATTGAGATGTCAACTTAACAATACCGACAACTCTCAAAGTGACTATCAATTCCCATCCTTTTCGTAAAAACAACCCGAAAATTTCAGGATTCCCCATCCGAGCGTCTCTTCTCGGTGAAATCCATCACTTCGTGGGGCTTCTCTTCGGGCCATTCTTACTGTAATTTAATAAACTAGACCTTGGTTGGTACTACTGCGGGGAGAAAACAAGTCAGGAGAAAATCTCATGGTTGGTTGAGATAACAATCCTGACTCGATCATATCTGACAGTTTTACTTTTGACGTTGTCTTTAAGCCAGCCAGCCTCAATCTTTCAGCTCTGTAGCCGAGTCTGACCACATGCCAATTATTGAAAGGGGAGCGTTCCTAGTGGTTGTTTACAAAGCCACAATATTGGCACTATCATTATTGTCTGTATGCAAGGGCTTTTTGCGCGCTGATCACGCAAAGCAGGTTGTTTCAAGTTCAGGGTAAAGGAACTGTTTGATCAAGGAACCTAAAGTGATGATCCTAGCCTGATACTAGTAGAGGTGACAAGTCGTCGCAAAGGCCTTTATCAATCCGTCTTGGAAAGATACACGTATCAGGACAAAAGTAACAGACAGCCTCTTCATTCAATGTTGACTGCCACACCATTGTGCGCAAGGGACGGGAAGTGAACGTCATTGTATACCTGCCACTATAAGGCTCTTTTGATTGTGATCTAATTCTATGTCGTTCGGGAGCTTGCATAAGAGGGAAACTTGGTTACGATCACAGCTCCCATACAAACCAACAAACAAAAGTCCCATGCCAACAACCGCAGATGCTTTCTTGAAGCAATCCTTCATCATGGCCATAGTCCTGAAAGGGGCTCAAATTGTTACTAAATATAGAGACGTCAGCAATACTGACTGATCCAAGACATCTCAACTGTTTGTATGACGATAATGATTTCCTTATTATTATTATGAGAATCTTAACTACAGCTCTAGGGTAGGAAATGTTAAGTATGGATGTTTCTAGGTAGCAGTTGCTTGTTAGTGGAGTAATTCAGTTAATCTTTAGCGCCCTGGCAGCGGCCCGTACCCGCCCACTACCCGCTCCCTACCTTCCGTGCCTGCATCTACAAGCGCGTCTCAAAGATGTTAATGACATCTATCAAACATCCTCGAATGAGAAGTTTCGATCAAAGAAGACTCTTTATTCAGTTGAATGTATTGGAGGTCTTGTTTGAAGACTGTACTTCCATCAATCCGTATGTCATATGATCCAACGCATTGAGACACAGCATCTGCTGCGGCTTGCCGCCCGTGGTTACCTTGCCGCCCATCTTTATGCGCCTCAGGGTATTAGAAAAATTGACCGCTGGAAGCATAAGAGACAATATTAGTAGGTCATTTTATGCTTCCTAGACTATGGTTCTTAAAATACTTATTTTTATACCCTAAGACTTAGGAGGCCATTTTTTCTGCTACCCACTAGATGCGATCACCACCCTCTAGGCGCCATGCACATCCCTGGTGGTGACATGACTAGCCTGAGCCGTACTGGTTGGTCTAAGTCTTCTTGTTGTCTGTAACAATTACTGCAAGTCCCACTGAACACGAAACTTGTTGGTCGTTGACTTGGTAATGATGGAGGCAGTGCTCCTTTTCGATGAACATACTTAAATCTCTTCTGTCTTGAGTTGTGTATATCTTCTACTTTGAGTCTACTATCATCTACTATTATTTCGTTTTTGGTTGTTGCCATAGCCGTCATTTCACCTCTTGTTTTGCATTACTACTGTTTACGAGATGGAGGCAGCCGCAAGCATAATTGCTTTCCTGCAGGTTGCTCAAGGTATTGCCAAATGTACGGTCAAGACCAAGCAGCTATGGGACCAAGCACAGGACATACCCGAGGAGATGCAGTCTCTCATACTGCGCCTACACAGTTACAAGTCAATATTCGAGGTCATGCACCAACAATTTCCTAATCAGGAGTCGTTTTGTTCGTTACCGACGTTCTCGTTAGTACAGGATAACTTGAGAGCTTCGATGTCGGCACTTGAGTTGCTTGACGAGAGTGCTGAACACCTTGTCGCAAAGATAAATGCAAAGAAAGGGCTGAAGCGGAAGCTTGCTGCTTTCAAAATAGCAATTGAGAAGGAAAACTCCGATCGACTCATCAAAAGACTGCATGATTCTATAGCTTTGCTCAACCTGTCATTACAAGCCTGGAATATGTGAGTCTTTCCTTGGACAAGTCTTAGAGTATGGACTGACCTTTCAAATTTCAGGGCAATAACGATATTAACACCTGAGTTGATCGCGACTCAGCTCAGCCAAACACTCAAAACTCATTGCGAAAACATACAATCGTGTAAAAGACCTACGATCGGAGCCGAAGAAGAGAACAAACAGTGTCATGTAGTCGGCAAATCAGACGACAACCAACTCTCGGCTATATCACGCTATGCCAAACAGCTCAACAAGATATATGCTCCCTCAAAACTGGGTCGTTTCGCGATATCGTATACCACAGCGACAGGTGCATGGCAAGCCTATGTTCAATGGCCAAGCTGGTTGTCGTCGTCAGTTTATGAGCTGCAATCAGCGCCGACTGGATGTGGCTGGATGTATACATATCGCGTATACAACATTATTTCGTCTAACTCCGACATCGTCCAAAGAATCAAGGAAGGAGATAAGGCCGGAGTGTTGGAACTTTTCAACAGGCGACAAGCATCACCGTACGACAAGGACGAGAATGGATATTCTCTCCTTTATGTAAGAGCACTATCATATTTTCCTGGCTTGGAAGCCTCTAACTAGTCTACAGTATGCTGCAGATAACAAGAGGTTCGACCTCTGTCAACTGCTACTTAGCATGGGACTCCGCGAAGCGCTACTGGAACAGGTGGGCATGAAGAGAGAGTAAGTCAAAATATGACAACCAAGAAAATATTCTGACATTTTCCCAGGAGTCCACTGACGCCAGCGGTATTCAAGCCTAATAGGCATGACCCAGAGGCTGAGTGGATGAAGATTGCTGGTCTATTTCACTCATATATGAACGAACCCGAGACGAACATGGTTGTTCGTTTGTTCGACTATCAGAGGGATTGCGACTATAGTGATGAGTATGTCCGCATATTTCGAAAAAGATTCCTACCAAATTTTTTCACTGGGCCGCTCATAAATCGACTGGAGGCCTTTCGACTTGGCTCATTCCACTGTCAATCATCAAACACGCTCTTCGAGCTTCTCGCACAAGACCAAAAGATCACCAGTTTTGATGTGGGCGAGTCGACCCGCAATGGTTTCTCGCTCGTTCATTCGGCTGCTGTGGCATTTGGTATTCGCTTTGCTGACGAAGCTCTACCATTCAAGAGAGGGTGGGCCATGTGGAATCTTTCTCCCTTTAATGATGGATGGAGCGACGTGGTAGCAAAGGTAGCTTCAGTTGCTACGTTGGAAGATCTAAGTGCCATCGAGACGGTGCAGCCTTGGGATGCATATCACGTTCCGGATTGGAAGGGCTCGCCACTGATCTCAGTGATTGGAGGTGCTCTCTGCTACTTGTCACCAGATATTGAATTCTTCCACTGGGACACAGTCATCCAAGGGTGTATACAGGAGTGGGTAACGATACTGCAGCAAAGCGGAGTGGACCTAGTCATATATGGCGAGCAAGAAGCCGTCAAGATCAGTCAGGATCTACGATCAGCGTTTGATTCGAGCGCCATCGAGGCGTCAAGAAGTATGATACGGAATTCTATGTTGCCACGAAGCGCGGAGACGACTTTTCGACGATGTGAGCGCCGTGGAAGGAAGAGTTGGAATCACAACCATTGGGTTCCAATTCGACTGCTGGAACTCAAGTTTGGACCAGATCCCAGAGATTGGAGAATAGTATGGGTGCCAGAATTTGAATGGATGGCAAACGAATTTTGGCAGTTGATAGAGAAAGAGAGCATCACAATGCCTGGGTCATGGGTCGACGGATGAAGCGTTATACTCTAGTGGGTCCTAAGTCTTAGGGTATAAAAATAAGTAGTCTAAGAACTATAGTCTAAAGAGCATAAACTAACCTAATAATTTCGTCTCTTATGCTTCTAGCGATCAATTTTTCTAATACCCTGAGGGCACTGTACATCAAACGGTGGCAACAAACAGCACTATGCGTTGAAAGAAGCGGATATGATTAACGCGGTAGATATGCAGAAATGATTTTCGTTTATAGGGGGCATCTTTGGGGGTTGAACATATTGGGCGCTTGTTAGACTATGTGGACTGCAGCATACAAAGCAATCAATTTCGTAAATAGTATCTTCATCGGCTAAGTAAACCCGTAGCGATAGCCCGTGCCGCTGAAGTAATAGTTGAAGTCTTGGAGATGAAGCTCCGTGTCTTCTTATCCAACCATTTTTAGTGAGCGTGGCTAGGTAGGTATCGACTTATCATATAAACTCCCGTGTAAACGCGTGCTGAGTTGCCCATGTACCCCGCCGGAAGAGGGCGGGGCAGGAAGTATCGCTATGACATAGACCAGGACTAATGTCGAACATGCTTGTTATCCTATGCCCAAAATAATAATCAATCCTTCAGAACATCACTCTTTCATCATCAACTCATCTCATACCAACATGGCAACCACTCGACCAGCAACAAAGGCCGGCACATGGTATAAGGGAGAACATCAGAAGTTGCTGGATGAGCTTAAGGGATACCTAGCCGCGGTTCCCGAGAGTCTAAATGGAGCTTCACTGCCTATTCCTGGAGCTCGTGTCATCATCGCCCCGTAAGTTTAGCTATGCAACATCACGAAAGAACACTGAGCTAACGACGCTGTACTGTAGCCATGCGGGATATCAGTTCTCTGGTCCATGTGCCGCTTGGGCTTACAAGACACTCGACCTGAGCCGTGCTAAACGTGTCTTTGTCCTGGGCCCATCTCATACTTACTACCTTGAAGGATGCGCAGCTACCACTTTTGGAAAATACGCAACTCCTTTCGGTGTTCTTGAGATCGATGTGGATCTGGCTAGAGAGCTTGAGGAGGCAATGATGATGGAGCAAATGCCCCGACAGGGAGAGATTAACGAACACTCTCTGGAGATGCATATGCCATACCTGTACCTCCGCTGCGAGGAAACATTCGGGACACCAGACAAGTTTCCCAAGATCGTGCCCGTGCTTGTCGGAAGCAACACTGGAAAAGAGGAGAAGGCCATAGGGCGAGCCCTGCTGCCATATGTTAGGGACCCTGAGAACGCCTTTATTATCAGTTCCGACTTCTGCCATTGGGGCGATAACTTCGGCTACCTCCCTTACTCTGCAACCAATAGTCCTTCTGATTTGAAGCAGCTAAAGAAGGAAAGCCCCAAGCCCAACGGCCCCCCAATCCATGAAACGATCAAAGCCATTGATCAAGCGGCCATGGATGCCGTTGAGAGTGGCGATCATGATGCATTCACTAGCACTCTCAAGCAGACACGGAACACGGTGTGTGGACGACATCCCATCGGTGTTACAATGGCAGCACTGGAGTTGCTCCGAAAGGAACCCGATTTCGAAAACAAAGGACAATTCAGTATCATCAAGTACGATCGGAGCAACTTGGTTGAGTATCCTGATGACATGAGTGTGAGCTACGTGTCTGCTTATGCTGTACTTTGAGGGATGTTTGGCAGGACTGAATATTGTAATTGCTAAGCTGGGGAGGGCGGAAAGCTTGTCGGAATTGAACGATTATTTGGAGTTTGGCTGGGATAGAAGCAATATCAAGTTATGAGGTGAAGAGGAGTTATCACGGTTACAGTATTTGCCTACCTCAGTTCAAGTCGCTAGGCAATACGAGAAACCCATATTATTACCCGTTGAGCTAGTATTTTCGGAACCAACCTAGACAGAGTCCGTTGGAAACAAAGTTGGTGGAGTGTCAGCTTGTGATGTGTTGTAAGTTTCTGCGGCTGAGATGTAAGACGGCTGAGATGTAAGACGGCTGAACGGCTTTGAGGTGTGAAGCTTATGTATGTATGTACGGATCTCCGCACGTAAGACGAATGGTGGAGTAAACCAAAGATCCTTGGTGAGAGAAGATTACGAGAGTCATTGGCCGTGCGTGTTAATGAATTATTAGTGGCAACGATACTATGCTATGCTATAGATTTGGCTGATAATGGCTCGAGTTGCTCATTACCTTTTAGCTACCATCAGAATAGCGGTATAGATTCACATGGATGATCGTCTGTATCCAAATTGAGGAAACTGGATTCTCATCTCATCTCCTTCGGGAAATACCACAAATAGCTCGCGATCAAATGATTGGCTTCCCTTGGCAATGTCGCTACGAGCTACTCTTGACCCACGCGGCGAAGCTTAACTTGGGGTTATTCGAGACCCCTCCCTTGTCTTTGAAATGGGTGGACGCCATTTTTGCTGAGCTGAGGCTCACTCGCACAAGGCGAGCTGTTAGCTTTTAGAGAGGTACTTTGGTGCAATTCATCAATTGGTGAATCATAGTTTAATCATGCTGGCGATATCGTCGGATAGGGCCGAAATCTGTGGATCATTGGACTTAAAACACCAGACTTGTTACAGATTTTGCAGTTCAGACTCTTGACGATCCAAGGATGAATGGAAAACAGCCGCTCAAAGGTGAAACAGTGGGGAAGGCATCACCAATAAAGAGAGACATGGGAGGAGGACTGTGGTTATTTAGGGATCAACCCCTTGTCTGAGGGAGGTGAATAGAATAAGCCAAACATAGTGGATGCTACTATACTGGTGGTATTGTCTTGAATAATTTTGTCTTATCATCACACTCTAAACCACATCCATGTTAAGCTCATTTATAGCCCCGGTTGCTACTGCAGGTCTCTCTCCTTCTCAATCCAATTGAATGTGTCTGTGTCGCATGATTGTCCAGACTCTTCAAGTGTTTCTGGCTGTTGCATCTCTGGTTTTGAGCATACCGAATACCACATCGCCTGTGTTTTAACCAAGACACTATTAGACTACGTATGACGGTGAAGACAAAACCAAGAACATGATCAAGTCTCTTACGTAGGTAAAGCCTCGACTGGAATTTACATGTTTGGATAATAACGATTGGACCCTGCATCACCATGACCATCAACCAAGGGGCAATCTTGTATGTACCTACGGAGTAAGCAAGGTGCGGCTTGCTCAACAGGGCTAAGCTAAGGCTAAGCTAAGGTCAAGTGTAATCTTCTAGGACCGCTAATGGCAGTGAGCGGCGTCACTCAAGCGCCCTCCAACACCCCCCGGACCCGCTAATTACTCAGTGGCTAACTGCTATGCTATGCTGCTACTGTCACTGCCACTTTCACTACAACCTTGGTAGCCACAATCTCGCACTCGGCCTCGCTCGCTCTCCCCCATTCCTCCATTATTATTCCTTGCTGGGCCCTTCCTTGTAAACTCCCATCACGTCTCATTTCCAGATCCTTGAATCTTGTGTTTTTTTTCTTTAACCTTACACCCTCCGCTCTCTCTCTCTCTTACTTTTTACTCTCTTCATTTGCCATCTTGTTTTTCCTTTTTCCTAACCTTTTCGTATCTGTGTCGACCCGACTCCACTAAAAAAAGGACCTGTTTCTCCTTGATTACTTACCTATTCTCACTCTCACTCTCACATCTACTCCTTTCTCCTTGCTGTGCGACGAGAACCACTCAACTTTAATATCGTAACACGGGCACGATACGGAACAACCACAAGAGAAAAGATATCATCGCAATCAATTGCTCGAATACAAAAATCATCGACAAAGAGAAGTGAAATTTACACAACGAATCACATTCTACAACCTTTTAGAGCTCCAGCTCAGTCGCTACAATGAGTGTTAGTTGCACCTCCTATCCAGCCCACCCTCGTCTTCTGTTTTGACGGTGCTTCAATCTTTGAACGTTCCATAATCGGCGCAAAAGCAGCTTGTTTCTGCATCATGATTTCATTAACTTTCTTGTACAATCTGCTAACATTTCAATAGTACGGGTATGTCCAAGATCAACTTCAATCGCGCGCCTCCTCCCAACCAACCTATTAACTTGCGTCCTAGATACGGTAGACAAAATCCCTACGATGCCCCTGACCAGGGCTACGGCGATAACGGTTATGGCAACGGTGGCGGTTACAACAGCCCACAAGCTCAGGGCTATGGTGGTGAGACTTCCCGGCTTGGTTTCCTGGTTTCCTTCCACCACTTACTGACAAGATTTGAGGGATAGGTAGCGTCGAAATGGAGCCCCTTGCTCACAACGGTAGCTCCTTTGCTCAAAGTGACCCCAATGCTATTCTCAACGAGTGTCGCGATATCGACCGCGGAATCGACACCGTCGAGCAGAACCTCGAGCAGCTTCGTATGATCCAGCAGCGAACCCTCGACGATGCCGACAGCTCAGGCTCTAGTGCTGCCAACCGTCAGCTCGACTCCCTTTCTGCTGACACCATGTCGCTCTACCGCGAGCTCACCGAGCGAGTTCGCACCGTCAAGTCCAACCCCGAGGCCAACTCTGCCAAGAACAACCCTCACGTCACTCGTATTGATCGTCGTCTCAAGGCCGCCATTACCCAGTACCAGCAGGTCGAGTCGCAGTTCCGAAAGCGAACCCAGGACCAGATGGCTCGTCAGTACCGTATCGTTCGCCCTGATGCCTCTGAGCAGGAGATCCAGGCTGCTGTTGAGGACACAACTGGTGGCCAGGTTTTCAGCCAAGCCATGATGCAGAGTGACCGCCAGGGTCGCGCTCGTGCGGCCCTGAGCGCTGTCCAAGATCGTCACCAGGCCCTTCAGAAGATTGAGCAGCAGATGGTCGAGCTGGCACAGCTGTTCCAGGACATGGACACTCTCGTTGTTCAGCAGGAGGCTGCCGTCACACAGATTGAGCAGAAGGGTGAGGAGGTTGTCGAGAACCTCGACAAGGGTAACGAGGAGATTGGTGTAGCTGTCAACACTGCCCGCAAGACACGCAAGAAGAAGTGGATCTGCCTGGGTATCTGTGGTATGTATTTCCGGCCAGAACTTGTCACGCAGCGATTTGCTAACTTTTTGTTCCAGTGGCTATTATTATCGTTATTGTCATTATCGTCCTCATCTACATCTTTGTTATTAAGGGACAGAACAACAACAACGGCGGTAACAACAACAAGAGACGAGCCATCGAGGCCGCCTCTGACGCTATCATGCACACAGCTGTCATGCCGTCTCTAGCTCGTCGCGTTGCTGGCGGCAACGAGGCCGCCTCTCTTATCAGCAGCGTCGCGGGAAGAATTCACATGCCCCAGCTACCGAACAACTAAATATTCAAGTTGGACGGAGAATAACAAAGGCTCATCGTATTCGAACCATGTATAAGGCGACTTCCTCTCTTACTATAAACTCTGGATATCTATACGCCAAACGGACAAACTTCGAATCAGGGGGAACTAAAAAGCAGTGTCAGGCTGTGTTTGTTTTGTCTTTTTTGCGTATTCCCAATTGGATTATAACTGCTGCTATAGCCCGATAGCCTGTATGTTTTCTTTTTTGTTGATACAACCGGGTTTGAATCTGCCGCTGTCTGGGCTTGGTTTTTCTTTTATCAATTGCATTTGCTAGGGGCGTTCATAGTATGAGCTTTTAATCACATTTCCCTTTTTTAACTGCTTTATCTGATACTCGTGTGTGGTTCGTGATTCAACGTCAAATGGATGTGCATCTCAATAGTAGCAGGATCTTAAGAACTCGGTGCAAATAATTTATGTAATAATATACAAGAGCGTCAGGATCCGTACATATAGTACGATTCAGAAAGCTCGTCAAACAATTTCCATACGCCAAGAGCCATACCCAAAGGTGTCTGGTCCACCTGAAACTGGTAATCCACAATATGTTGGACGTGATATCGATATCGTTTTATGTTGTCCAAGCTTTAGCTTTATCAAGTCGCCATCTGATAGTATATTACTATTAGCATGCAAAACAGAAGAGCAGGTTATGACTTACCAGGTCATGCTGATAGCACGTCTCTCTCTATATCTTGTGACACAAGTCTCAAAGGCGATTCAAAGTCTCCTACGGCAATAATCAATCATCCTCAGCCTTCGCTTTTCCCTTCCCCTTGTCGTCTTCATAATCTAGCACTGCTTCATCCGGCGCACCTCCATTGTCTTCTACTTGATGACTCTGTTCGTTCTGCCCCATAACCATACGTCTCTTCTCACTCTTATCAACAACCTTCTTCAACACCCCCATGCGTCTCCGGAAGTCCTCTGCCAAAACATCAGCGTCCTCGCCTCCTATAGCGCCGCTTCCAGAATTAGGTAGGGAATCAGGTCGCGCCTCAACTGGTTCGCGCTCGACGCCTTCGACGCGGAGTATCGCGCCGCCGCTCTCGTCACCCTCACCCTGCTGTACTGCAACACCAGACTCTGTCACGGCAAAGTCGGGCGTCAGGCTGGATGCCCATGATACGGCCCAGCGGTTAGCAGAACCTTCAGGGGCAGGCGCGAGGTCTACGACGAGGGCGCGGTGGGATGGATCTTGAGAGGGCGTTGAGAGGATGGACTGGTCGTCGTCTGAGAAGAGGTAGTGAATGCGCGGGTGAACGGTGGTGTTCGTAGTTGAGTTTGTCAATAGTGTGAATAGCGGTTCGAAGGAGGGCATCTCATTCCCGACCGGATCAGCTTGGTCGACAGCAGGGGGAGATTGTTCGTGCGAAAGTCCGATATCCGGTCCACCCTTGATGGACGGCGAAAGCCCATCCGCGGGAGACGCATCTCTATCGGTAGTAGACATTCTGATGAGAGGTAGGTTGTGCTGTGGAGCTTCTAGAGTGGCAGGGATAAAGCGACCGAACCAGAAGCATCTTTACTTCCAGTAGATCGTTCTTGCTAACACTAAGCTGTTTAAGCTGTTTGAAGTTGGTTGTATATAGATTGAGGATGAGATGATGGGATGACGGAGGGAGCTATGAGGGCTTATCTTATCAGCACGTGGGTACTTTGGTATAAGTCGTGGTCTGCCTGGTATTATATTGTAGAAGACAAACAAGATGTGATTTGTACGAGATGAGATCAAATATAATCAGATCTTCAATTCATCTTGACAAAGTTCTGACCGTTTTTGGAGCTCTTTGTTCGTGGCTCAACGTTGTTAAAGGTTAACTTGGGCTCCATATGCAATATGCATGGAGGAGTATCGTGACTTGACATGTGACTGAATGTCTGGGAACCAGCCACCTGCAAAACATAATCTACAGTAGATAGACTGACATATTATTGGTATGAGAGTACCATATTTGATTCAGATCTCTATTCAGGTCAGGTTTGAATTTTTGATATCTATATCTACAAAGAATGTATGGTGTGTTGGTGTAAAATGATGCTTCATGTTCGCCAACATGGCCAACAACTTAGACTCGGACTAGATCTGATGACATGGTCTGTAGATAATAATTTATAATAGTTCTTAGCACTGAAATTCGGATAACAATTCCGTTTTCTTATACACCGCGGTTTAAGAGTCTGCATCTTCATGCACTCTGACGTCTCTTGTCACCCATGACTTGTTCGCTTATTGCCCGATATGGCTTTGGTTTCCTGCAGCCTGACTTGTTCAACACCCTTTTAAAAAATTTATATTACACTTGACTCAACAGTCACAATATTCTCTATTCTAAATCGTACTATTTTGGTTTACCGACGAGTCGTGCGCCGAAGAGAGAGGGTCACTATGCATCAACGGTCAAGTCAAGCTTATGAAAAAAGTTGATTGAGTTGGGCTAAGGTCAGAGTTAGGCACCCAAAGCCTTCACTAATCCAGCTGCCCAAGTTAACGCCGGCCCCGTCTATTGAATCTGTCTATGTGTGTCCCCACGATGGCTGTATCCTTGCCTCTATTTTTGGGTCTTTTCGGAAGACCGTCCTTTTTCCCAACCGTGAATTTCGTTCCCGTGATATCGTGACAAAGGAAATCTATAATAAACACTAACACCCGCCCCAGTATATGCCCGCTCTGCAGACAAATCAAACGCCACGTCGCTAACGTCCAGTATGCAAAAAAGCAGGTTGTAATCGATCAAGAGGCGGTAAAGACTTTTTAGGACGAAGACGAGTGTAGAGCACGGAAGCCAGCCGCAACCAAACTTCTCGACTTGTCCTTGGAATCAGCGGGAGCATTCCAGTAAAAGAGACCCTGCAAAGCCATAGTTAGCGATATGTCATCAATATCGAATGGTATGATGTTGGTATTGTGCCCAACACACAGCCTTCATCATCCACAGTTAGGCTACTCACCCCTAGTCCCTTTTGCTTGCAAAAACCCGCCTTCATCTTGACGGTGTCTGGGTTGTCGTACGTCACGAAGCCACCATCTGCTCCCATGCATTGTGCTGCCACATGGCGTTTGTCGACAACCTCCTTGCAGCCCTTGCGTGGAAGCTGGTTGTACTCAAAGGTACCATCCTCGGCGCCACCAATGCCCTTGTACTTGTGTCCTGCGCCAGTGCAGTGAAGGAAGCTTCGTCCGAATGTCGGGATGCCGAGTAGGATCTTTTTGGGCGGGAATCCCTTTGACATGAGATACGAAACCCCTGAAGAAGCCGAGGTCTCTTCCTTGTCCATGGCGTAAAGTTGTGCGTGGTGTCCGGCTTTGGGGGTCCACGAGCCGAAAAAGTCGTAAGCCATCAAGTTGATAAAATCCAGATATTCGGCAATCTCCATCAAATCTAGAAACTGCAAGACAGCCTTGGCTGCAGGAAGTGCAGCGGTGAGGACATAATGCTCCTCGGGGAGGTGAATTCGGACGGCTGCCAGCAGAGCCAGAAAGTCATAGCCTTGTTGCGCATCACAGGGGTACTCCCATGCAACTGTTTGAAGAAGTTGGTCAGTTTCTTGTGTCACAGTAAAAATATCGAGGCAGTCTCGAATGACTCACTGTCAATTCCATCTAGGCCAGAGGCCTCGACAAGTCCTTTGGCTGATCGAGCAAAGTTGTCTCGCAGAAGAGTGCTTGATGCCACGACAGGGAAGATTTCTGATGAGTTTCCCCCACCAATTGACAAAACAACTCGGAGATGAGGATGTTTTTGCTTAAGGTGCATCAGAGATCCCAAACCTCCTTGAACACCGTCAACAGGCGCACCAGCGTCCGCCCACTCATCGCTCAACTAAACGAGTCAGTATCATCCACTGCCGAGACTTGTAGTGAAAACTTACAAAGACACCACCATCGGCTGAAACACTGGCGTAGGCGTAATAGACGTGGTTAATGCAACTGTAGTTGAGCATGCCTGGTGTATCTCCCTGGTATATCCGATAGTTGGGGAAGTACACAGCGTTTGTGAACATGACATCAGACAAGTTCGAAGCCATCTTTGACTTTCTCGAGGAGCTCATGATGGGCGATTTGAGAAGTAGAGAAAATAAGACAAGAGGCAGAAGAAAGAAGAAAGATAAATCTGGCACAGCTTTAAAGAATAAGAGAAAAATGTTCACCGAGTATTTGTTGCTTCAAGTGTGTCCTGCAAGAACCTGCATAAACCTGGGATCAAGATCTTCGAGGTACAACTAGGAGCTGGTGTGTCGGTCAACAACGTTAGGCACCAAAGACTTGCTGATGAGATTCATGATTGCGAACGAGAAGGATCCAAGCTATATAACGCTCAGCACCACGCCAGCGCAACTAGCTAATAGAAGGAGGGTCATCTAGTTGATGCGAAGAGAGCAGGGACTAGCATCCAAATTACGGAGGGTCCTGGATTTGGTCGGTAGTACTGATACATGACATAATTGCGGGGAGGCATGAGAAGAAACACAAACGCGCTTGCGTTTGTTAGAGCTGAGAAGCAGAGGCTTCTTGGGAGACCGTGAAGTGCAGCTATCCTGTCGGATCGCGTTGCTACCTGCTGTTAGCCTGCCTTTTTTGATGCTTTGACCAGGCCTATTCGGGCCTTGTTGAGAAGGTGAAATATGCGCCTCATGAAATGACGGTTGGTGCCCTTGGCGGTCCAGCCCTGAAATGGAGTCGGAGATCCGGGGGGAGAACACTAGTATTTCCCCTTCAAATAGAGTCCGTGTAAGCAGACCCTGAACTATTGACCTGAAGAGGACATGGTTTTGGGCAAGACGAACTGACCTCTGGATGCTGAGGCCGAACGGTGATGCTGAAGCATTGACGGAGCGGCCTTCCCGAAGCATCGAATATCCCTGTTACGATGCGCAAAGATGAAACACTTTGACAGAAGGACAAGTAGATGACATGCATCTTTAATACCTAAAAACAGCATAGAACGGCAGTCACGTTCTTAGAATGAGCCGTGGACCTCGGCGCAAACCGAGGCGGCATATTGCTTCGGCTCAAGTCGAGGCATTATTTGAATAGGACTTGACTTCTAATCAGTATCCTCGCAGTATCGGGAAGCAACAGCAAAGCTCAAGGGATGAGACGGTCTCAGCGGCATTGTTCTTGGTGTCACAACGTCCGGATATAGTATCAGGACGATCCAGGTACAGTACAGCACCACCGTCCTTGCGCGAGGGTAGTTCCAGAAACGCCGAGTCAGAGCACAACTTCTCGATAAACAGTCGAACAACCGTGCGGCTCCGTGGATTCGTCCTGCCATCAAACTTCTCGAAGGTTTGGAACGCGCTACGCCGAATGGTGAAGTTAGTTCCATAATTAAAACCCGTCAGGGATGATTAATTGGGCTCAATCTTCAGTGGACCGGAAGCTATGTTTGATGTTCACGCCCATGAGCCAGCCAGGACCGTGTTTACAAACCATAACCATTCTAATTCTGTTTTAAAGCTCGCACGCCTGCATGTGCGTGCCTTGATGTACACAACCGTACTTGAAATTGAGAGAATCGCCATGGTGAGTAATTGACTCCTGGCAGTAAACCAATGGCTGGGCTCTGAGCTTTGGCCGTGCCTAGCAGATCCCTAACTGGTATGTGGAAATTAGCGTTGTTTTTAGAAGCCATCCTCGCATTCAAATAAAGTGAGAGGCTGAAATCCGCAACATGTTAGAGCTGCAGTGCATAATTATGAATGTTTGTCCTGATTTTGAAGCATGAATCCTGCCAAACTCTGAAAGCGCTTTGCCTCGACTCTGCTTCAGATAAACCTGTATCCGCTGGGCAGCATTTGTGTTCATAATATTATGTGTAAAAGTATTGTCGCCTCATGCGAATGTGCAATATTTTGAAACCATGATCCGACATAAAGGTTCAGAACCATAACACATAAATATGGTTGGTTTTCCAAGGTCGGAAATAAAACCAAGAAGCGGCAAGAGTTTATCTATTCCCGCTCAGCTGCATTGACGTATCTCATGGCTTCTGGCTGATATGTTAGGCAATTATCCGAAAAGGCAATACCCGATAACTACAAGCGGATTGATGCGGAGGTGGAAGTGAATGTTGGTTCTGCTGCACGTGAGACTCAGTGGTCAGCAAGTTGGCGGCAGACGGCTGGGAATCCTGCAGGGCTCCTTCGTACATAGTCAATGCGACATTGAACAGCAGGAAGTGAAAAGAGATGTACTACCAAGCCGAACCCTTGTTGATTTTGTCTGTGCTAGGTTCGACATATGTCAAACAATCGTGTTCAAAAGTTATCTGGTGGAGCTGAAATGGCAGGGCGACAGCCAACACCTTCCAAACCTGGTCGGTGGAATGCGTGAAAGCCTGTTGTGTTCAAGTGAATTCATGTCTGTCTCAGCTTCGACCCTATTGAGGGGGGTTTTTGGCCTTCTTCGGTAGGGCGAGGCGGATCAGGTCCATGGGAAGCAAACAAACATCCAATACACTGCACCCCCAACTCAGAGATTGAACCAACAGTCGAATCGCAGACTGCCTTTATGCGCCATCCGCATGCCCTATCACCAACAACTCGCACAAATATGTAGGCAGCTGAAAAAACATACCGCATATATGCCAATCTTGCCAATATTAGAGGCGAAAGCCTTTGTCAGAAGGAAGGGGCTTGGCATCGTGGTAGCAAACGTGCAGTATTCCCATGACCCTCTTGCGTGATGTCCTTGAGTAATAAGTGTCCATCCCTTGTGTCCTTTGGTCGGTTTCACAGGGACGATCATTGTGGCGCAACCACGATCAAGAATGATAAAGTGCATTGGGCCCATCTTCTACACACCTCGAGCAGTTTTGCTTTCGAATTCTAACCCACTGGAAAACAAGCAAGATGCCAGACACTGATAGCCACTCCTTTTTTCTAATCTCTGAGCCGGGGATCGAGACGATATACACACCGACGGAACAAGACACGGACGATTATGATTTTGTTTTTGAAGACGATCAATCTGAGTGTGTACAACAAGTTGATGAACCGAGTTGTTGCACTTCACTGGCGCCGAGCATGTTGGACTATGAACACTCTAACGGGCGACGGTACCACGCCTATTTGAGTGGGAGATATCCTTTGCCGAATGATAAAGGCGAACAATGCCGCGAGTTGTTTGAGCACATTTTGATGCAGCGCCTTCTTGTACGTCAAGTCTTGCAACGGAACAAAGCTCGAATGTACTAATAAGTTCCCATATTTGCAGGATGGAGAACTTTTCTTGTCCAACATTGGTGACGAACCGAATAAAATAATCGATATCGGCACAGGCAATGGTGAGTGCTCCAACAACTGACCACTACTGTACTGACCACCTGTAGGAGCCTGGGCAATAGATGGTAACGATTTGACTGCGAACGACTCAGCGGTTACTTACTAACAACTCCTTAGTCGCCGACTTGTATCCAGGTGCGAGCATAATTGGGACCGACTTGTCGCCGACCCAGCCCAAATCGATGCCGCTAAATGCACGCATGTTCGTTGAAGATTGCGAGGACCCGTACTGGGCGAACGGATACGACTTCGATCTGGTCCATTTTAGGGGAATGGCCGGGTTTCTTCTTGATCTAGACGCCATGGTCACTAATGCCCATGAGTAAGTGACATACCACCTATGAATATTCGCGCACTAACAAAGAAAGACATATAGCAAGTGGTGGATGGATCGAGTTCCAAGACTTCGACTACACAGTTTGTTGCGATGACGGCACCATGAAGAAAGATGACCCTTTGCAAGTGTTTTTCGATACCTGCGCTCGGGGAATGCAAAAGTACGGCTATACCAGCTTTGGCAAGAGCGATGTTCAAAAAACTCTCGTCTCTGCTGGTTTCACTCAAGTTGATGTGGTGAACAAGAAAGTGCCCATTTCTCCTTGGCCAAAAGACGAGAGACTAAAGGACATCGGGACGATGATGGAAGCGAATATTTCCGATCTCATTAGGGCCATGGCTATCAAACCATTGATTGCATTGGGAATGTCGGCAGACGAGAGAAAAGAGATGGTCTCGCAGGCTTGCCAGAGCCTCAAGAAAGGCAAGGCTCAACGGTACATGAACTGTCGCATCGTTTTTGGTAAGAAGGTTGGTGACGAAAGTGCTTGCAAATCCTGATGCGGAGTCTCGATGACCAAGTAGTCGACCTAGAGTATTTGCTTGGATGAGGTTAAGTCACATCTCACGAAGGAGTGGTGTTAAGATTAATTAAGGAACGCGTAGGTGAAGGAGGCAAGTTGACCTATCGTAGGGTAAAAACTGGCTACCTATCGCAAGGAAAGAGTTAGAGTGGCAGATTGAGCAGGACACTTTCTTATATCCATATTTGATTCAAACTCAGACAAATTAACGAATAATATGACATTAATAATTATACTCAAAATTAAAGACATCTCATAAACAATCCCGAAACAAAGCTCATGTGGAGTGACGTTGGTCGGTTTAGAAGCCATCCCAGTCGCTGACAAACCTTAGCTGCGCCGCTAAGATACCACCTGCAGCTGGAATTTGTTAGCTGAGTTAGCTTTGGCCTTGATCTTGCCATCAACACAGCAACTTCACCAAGCACCAAGCAACATTTATAACGGCCCTGCAACGAAACAGAGAGCACGCCAATAGGATTAAAACAGCTGTTTTTTTTTTTTTTTTTTACCGTCAATAATAGGCGCTCTGCCTGCGCCTCTTGCCCATCATGCCCGTCGCTGTCGAATCTCTCGCCTCCACCATCCTCAATCACTCTGCGACGCCCTACAACTTCCGCTTCTCACCCTTCCTCCGACAAACCTACCAGGTCGGCCTCTCCCCCGATCGACCAGTATGCAAAGCTTTCCAGTCAGGTCATTGCCCGAATGGCACGCGATGCCCTGAACGGCACGTCTCCGACTCCAAGACATCACAACCGACTGGCGGTCTCAACTCGCTCGTGTGCAAACATTGGCTGCGTGGCCTATGTAAAAAGGGCGAGCACTGCGAGTTTCTTCACGAGTACAACCTACGAAAGATGCCCGAGTGTAATTTTTTCATGCGAAATGGATACTGCTCTAATGGCGACGAGTGTCTCTATCTTCACATCGATCCTCAAAGTCGACTGCCGCCTTGTCCTCATTACGATATGGGCTTCTGTCCTCTCGGCCCCAACTGTTCGAAGAAGCACGTGCGTAAGAAGCTCTGTGTCTTTTATCTGGCTGGTTTCTGCCCTGATGGGCCGGATTGTAAGGAGGGCGCTCATCCTAAATGGTCAAAGGATCTCGAGAAGCCAACTCTCAAGTCGGAAGAAAAGAAGGACGAGGAGATGAGAATGGAATTTCCTCAGGACGATATGGACAGACAGCGCGACCAACAAAGAGACAGAGATCGAGATGATGGAGGAAGACATCGAGGAGGTCACGGTGGTCACGGAGGTCACGGTGGCAGAGGGAAATGGAGAGGAAGAGGTAGATATCGTGCAAGGGGTCACTAAGACAGGTTTCTGCATGCGTTTTAATTTTATTAAGACAATGATACCCATAAAGCTTTTGGGTAGTTATCCCAGGTGCAAATCATCAAATCAATGGTCAAAAGCAGTTGTTCAAAGTCAAAACAATTGGATCTGTATTTTTCCAACAGCCATAACATAAAATCATCAAGAGTTGGAGTCGTGACGGCGTCTATAAGTAACAATATCGAATCTTTTTACGTATCCCATCATAATGCGTATCATACGGACCCAATGTACATTGCATGGTCAGCATAATTTTCCATGTCATCATTTATGATGCTTCGGGTGCCTTGTGAGACCAGACAGCCCCAGTGTCGGCATGCCAGACGTTGTCGTCTGAGACAGCGATGAACTCGCTTGATGTTCCTTCTTCACCCTTCTCACTGTCATCATCCTCGTCTTCGCTGCTTTCCGAACCTTCGAAGGCGCTGGTCTTCCATGTAGAAAGCTCATCAACCCGACGGATGCCCATCATCCAGGAAACAAGGCCACGAGGAGCCCATCGGCCGACGAAGCCATAAACACTGGCACCGAGACCGACTCGGACAGTGTCAGCAGTGATATCACCGTCGATAACGTCAAAGACAGAGTTGTGAAGACGTCGCAGCGAGCTTCCCTTGAGTCCGCGAATACGGCCTCCAGAGATGGCAGAGCTGGTCTGGGCGACAAAGTTTCTAGCATAGACATGTCGAGCACCCTCTGGCCAGACGAGAGGCGATTCAGGGTTTCCTGCAGGCATGACCAGACCTTGGTTAGGTCCGCCCCGGGTAGGGACGAAGCTAGAGAAGTCGAACGTGCCAAGTTGCATGTGGGTCACTGGGATGTCGAGGGGTCTAAGTTCGGCGGTGAGGACTTCGGTAAAAGCGGACAAGGCAGAACACACGGTCGCTTCAGGTGCATGGAAGGGCGGGTTAATTGACGAGATGATGGAAGGGGTAAAGACCAGGACCTTGGGGGGAATCCATTTTTCTCCAATGGGGTTCAAGCGGGATGTGAGTAGTGGGAGGAAAGCTTGGATTGTGAGAATAGGTTGGAGGAGGTGGGTATTGAAGAGGTCGGCAAAGTTTGAAGGCGGAATTGTCGCAATGGGAGATGTCTGGTAATGAAGGCTCGGAATCAGGATAACGGACTTTAGAGTGAGCTGGTTGGGCTTCATTCCAGGCCCGGGAGCTTGAGGTGACTGGAGATAATGGGCAAAGTGCTCAATGGCAGAGCCAGCATGAGGAGGCTAGGAATGTCAGTATAATCACGCTATGACCATCCAAGACAAACTCACGTCAGTGGTATCAATGGTTAGAGGTCGGATATCGGCTCGCTTCATAGCCTGGACCATGGATTCGTCTTCGGCAGCGTTGCAGACGATAAAGACGATGAATCCTCGTCTCTCCATGTCCAAAGACAAGGATCTTGTTAAAGGCAGAGTTGGAGAACCAGCGATAACGACGACATCAGTGCGACCGCCGTTTCTCGCCCTTCTCGCCCGTCTTGTCTTTCTCATGGAGCGGCCCTCATAGTATCCCTTGTAAACGACGGTACCGCATGTGAGGACGATAACACCGGTCAGAATTTTATGCTCCGTAATCCAGGTCTGGAGTCTCTCGAAGCGAGACAAAGACACTACAGCCACCACTTCCTTGACAGGAGGAGTAGGCCTCACTGACTCTGGGACCCATTCCGACGTGGAGAGGGTTTCTCTGACGACTACGGCAGCGCGGTCGACATTCTTATCAATGAACTCGGCGGCAATGTCGGAGTACCGGCGGGCCTGGGTCGAGAGCTACTCGATAATCAGCGACATGACTTGGAGCAAAGAGCCATAGTACCTACAGTATCCAACAGCTGCTGGGGATCTATCGACATGGTGGTGGTTTGATGAGAGAGAAAAGATTGCAACTGGAGGCTCTGCTCATATGACGGTGACCTTCATGCGGTGGGGAACTTTAAAAGCTTCTGATACCCAACCTCGTCGATGTGAATCTTTCGTGCACGGACCATCCGATCTCCGCGCCGGAACCCGGGATTTAGTAGTCCGATGGTCTACCCGAGGTCGGGTATCTAGACGAGAGTATCATCTGTACAGGGTTGGGTTCTCATAAGTGAATAGTTAATGATTCATTCTGTTGAGTCTACTAAGTTTCCTATTCGATTTCGATCAAGAGGGCTCTCTTTGTCTGTCGATTGGAGCATTATGCCCGATATTGCATATTGAACCACTGTTTCAAGGCATTGTGCATGATCCTAGCCATGAAATACAGAACTCAGTTTCACTCAAAGCCAAGGACGGGCAATCAGATCGCTGTCGCAAGTGGATGGTGTGAGACAATCCAACGAATTCGTACATTAGACAACAAGTGATCCCATAATCTTGTCTTGTTGTTCGGCATGAGTTGTTGATTACTCGCAATACAATCAGGCCAGAATGTTACCCTCCTAAGAAACGTGGCCCAATATGAGTGCTTCACATATTGGTGGATATACAACAGCGAATCATCAGTTTACACAAACCTCTCTGAAGAGTTGGCCAGTACCAACAACAATGCTGCATAGTTTGAACACAACTCAGCAGTGCTATGTTGATAATTTACTTTGTTCGAATGTAATCCGAGTCTCTCATGTTTCTGTGATTATTATTAGGTATTAAGCACGAGCGTTATGTCCGTATATGAAAAGGTGCAGTAGTTAGCTCCACAACTCGGAAGTGTATTTCCTGTCGACTCGTCTGCAAAGTGGAATGGTCTTACTAGCCTAGAAGTATGAAGCAAGACGAGATACCAAGCCATAACATGAGACTGCTGTAGATTTCTCCATAGGCCCACACTGCTCCCGAACTCAAGACAAGGGCGACTGTTGGTGATGTTTTGCTCTTGATGCTTTCCTCTCTTTGTGGCTCACAAAGGCCCATTAGATAGTTCCCCAGATCAGGAAACGGCTGGAGCGGAGTATGTGGAGCATCAAACGGCTATCAGCGGGTCCACTTCCCAGCGTCTTATCAGCTGTACATGTCTTTATCGGTTGAGTGATGGCTTATAGATGGACCTATCTGCTTCGGAGGGCATCTGACGGTAAATTTGAAAGATAGTATTGATGTTGAAGGGTGATTTGTTGGAACTCGACAGTTGAACAGGAATGGGAAGCGATGTTGCTGGGAGCGATTGCTGTCCAGCTCAAATCTCCGACCACGCCTAGTCGGCAACAGAAAAGTTGGCCTCCTAAGTCTTAGGGTGTAAAAATAAGTAGTCTAAGAACTATAGCCTAACGAGCATAAAATGACCTACTAATTTCGTCTTGTATGCTTCCAGTGGCCAATTTTTCTGATACCCTGAGGCACGCCCTAAAATGATCGACCGCACAGATGGCTCAGGACAGTATTGTGACATGTGTACCACCAGTTCAGTACGGCTTCCCTGCGGCCCACAGCCCCATGGTACGTACGGTGCAACGTCTTGATCTTCAGATGAAGGTTTGGGCCCACAAAGAGGTCTGGGATAGAAAAGGAACACAGAGAGAAGAAGAGCTCAGACTCTTGCACAACCAGCATTCTCAATCTGGATGGAGATCTGATAGCTTAGCACTAGGCGGGAGCTTAAAGAGATGAAGTATAAATAAATGTGATCTAATTCTGGAGTCCACATATAATATTTGCACTGCTGAATGCTACTACAGCTTTTCTCTATAAAAGCATGCACGACGCCTGTAGTAGCCACGGATACACTTATTCCTAGTTTGATATGCCCCTTACCGCTCCACGGATTGTGATGGGAGCTGACTTTAACGTCTTGCTTATACCGCCAGTATTTTACCAGTCGGAGAGTTGATTCAAGGAGAGGAAAGCATCCCTTTATTCGAACTCGACCAAACCCGAACACTACTGTACATACAATACATCCATCCTCTTCTGTTTCAACCTTCCTGCCGTAGCAATTATCCCAAACGACACGCCAATTACTCAAATTGACGTGGTATCAAGAAATAAAGAAAACTCTGCACTCAATCACATGGTTACTCCATCTCTTGCAGTACCCTACTGTTTATCTGAGCGCTCATTTGTCAAATAAAATCGATTTTGCCGTACTTGTCCATCACCGGTCTCTCGCCAGCAAAGCAGAAGTACTGTCGGTTGCCTCCATTCTCGGTATCGAAGCCTTTGGACCCCCAAGCCTTTTCCATCTCTTCACGGAACTTTGACTTTGGTTTTCCTTCTTGGATGCGTCTTTTCTCGAAGAAAATATAGGCCGCGTAGAAGGTGATATTGGTGTTACCACCACGAACATCTTTACAGCCCATAAAGTATCGCATGTTGGCCGGGGATACACTCTCTCCTTCTGGAAGGTTTTTGTTAAGGGCTCGGATGAAAGCCGCTTGCGTCATACCGTCTTTGGCCAAAAGAGCGCGGATTTTCTTGCGAATCTCACTGCAAGTGTCGTAAACGGCAACTCTGCCCTGGGCCTCACCAGGAAGAGGATCAACATTGCTCACATCGAGAATTTTGTCGATGACCTTTGAATCAGCAGCAGTTTTCGGCTTCTTGGGTTTGTTGGCCTTGAGGGGCAGACCTTGAAGCTCACGCCTCTTAAAGAAGTGGTGAGCTTTGACGAAGGTGTCAGTTTGCTCACCATCCCAAGTGCCAGTTCGGTTCATGAAGCTGTTGTAAGACCTGCTGCTGACACCAATGGTCTTCTGGAACTCGCCGACTTTCTGGGCACCTGACTCAATCCAAGTGCGAATCTTGCGGCGAATGGAATTGCAAGTGTCTGATCCTAGACATTCGAGACGCTCATCTTCACTGTCAATTTCCGGCACATCGGATGGGAAGAGGTCTTCTTTAGTATTGTCAGGAGAAACGTCAGACTTGCGCTTTCTAGAATTGGTAGTTTTTGTAGGTGGCGCAGGGGCCTGAACGGGAGCATGCGCAGGGGATGGAATAGCAGCAGAGGTTGTTGGAAGAGGGAGAGGTCCGCCTGATGTTAGGTGTCTGGGTGAGTGTGGCACGAAGGGTGGTGCTGGGTTGTAATAGACGGGTGGTGGAGCTGAAGCAGGAGAATGGCCACTGCCAGGAACAGGAGGAGGTGCCGGGTTATTATACACGGGTGGCGGCTGAAAAGAGTTCCCATAGCTAGTAGCATAGCTAGGAGTAGCTGGAGCTGGAGCTGGAGCTGAAAGGCGGAGAGGAGGATGGGCTAGACCGGGAGCCGGCATACTGGATAGGCCCTGAGGCGGAATAGCAGGCCGCGGTTGGTAGTTCCAATTGGGTTGATTCATTTGTAGCATTGCCTGCTTGGGCGACCAAGTCCAGCCTGACATTTCTGCAGAAATAAGGTAATTGTACTCTGTATGGCAGAGAATCCTGAAGGTTCGTCAACGGCAATGTAAAATGACGACTGCCGAATTATGACGTTGTGTTGGTCTACGCTTCTCTTTTTTTATGCGTCTTGTACCTGAACCGAAAAGCGGCGCGTTCTTCAAGTGGGGGGGTGCATGCGTCTCAGGAACACTGTCTTTTAGCGTCGTCCCCACGATGACAGGTGCTCCACTAAGTGTCGACCGTTATTCTCGGGGTTGAGAGGTACAGTTGGAGAGACGAGTTGGAGAGAAGAGGGGTAGCTGTTTGGTGTTAGACTCTTTTCTGAGGGGTATAGATATGCAGGCGGGAAACTTACCAGTAACTGGGTGATTTGATTCTGGCTATACTCGCTCGTTATGGTAAGCCTCGAGACACCTTTTTTGAGGTTGATTCTAGTTCATCCTCGCTTGTTGGAGTAGGCCGCGAGACACCTAATGTGACTGGAATGTCGATGGAAATATACTGAGGGTAGCTTCAAGTATCTGCCAGATCACTTGGCTCAAATTCTGTCTTAGCCTTGCCTAACCGCCTCTTGACAGAAGTGTTTCTATTTGAGGCTTAAGTAACTTCACCTTCCATGGAGTAGAGTCTCATGACCAGGTGGTGAAAACGGGAGGCAGTGTAAATGCTGAGATTCTCGAGAGTTTACTTCAGGCGATCGTAAAAGGCTCTGGCCTGACGTTGTTTTCAATAGGTAAAACATTTCAACTTGGACGGTCCTTTTGGAATTCTTGATGGCATCTCCACGAATGTTGAATCGCTCAGAAGGCTTGGTTACAAAGAGTTAGAATGTTGCAAATACGGGAAGAACATCATCCCTAATATTTAGAGCATTTGTAGAAGCAAACAGCTCAAAAGTTGACCTAGGATGACGTGGATCAACTTACTGATTTGATGAGCTCTGATTGGTTATTAGACATGAAGGTCGTTGACAGGAGTAATTCTATCTGAGGCCAAGCTGAGAGCCGAGAGTCTGAGAGAGGGAGCTTGCTGGTTGATATCGCCGGTGATGACCCGACCCTTGGGACTGAACAGTGTAATAGGAATGGTAGGCTATTCTTTCATGGTGGAGGTTTCTTTGACCAACAAGCGGGTCAAAATCATTTGCAAACGACGTAGCCGTGGGAACGGTCGCGAACAGCAGAGTAACTTTATTGCTTTTAACGGGTAACAGTAGGAGCTGAGGAGTGGGGTAGCTTTTCGACGTCTTCGGGGATTTTCTGGTGGGTACACTTCTTTAGGGGCCCACCATAGCTCTCTTATAACAGAAAAGTTAACCGTGTTAGTCTTGGAGTGTAAAATGGAATTGAATTAACGGAATAAGAACTGGTTTAAGCAGCACAAGTTAACCTACTATCTAGTTTTTCCCTTATGCCTGTGTCCCGCGGCCAATGTTTCTGATACTGTGAGGCTCCTTACTAGGTAGTACTAACCTCGCCTGTTAAAGGTAACTTTGAGTTCGGCACGCCAGCTTCTTTCCACTGTTCTTTCAGAAAGATCCTTGACCTTACCTGGGGTTGAAATGAGCCGGAAGCATAGAATATCGTAGAGTGTTATAGAATGTTGCGGTCTGGCAAGAGCAAAGCACCTGCTTCCACAGACGTGAGGGTGAGGTGTATAAACAGCCAAACTCTTCCACCCTGGCATTGTCCCCCTTCTTTTCTTCTTCTCACATCCCTCATAGTTACAAGAAAGGTCTGTTTACGCGTAGTTGGACAATCATGCTTTTTATAATGTTTATTAATCTAGACCTTCTTCTGAATGAACATCTCTCATGAATCAGATCTCAATTGCCCCAAGGGCTAATGCCAATGTTATCTCTCTGCGCGAACCGTTCCTCTAGCCATTGAGCAACATTCCAATTGATCTCGGCATTAGACTTCATGTAATGCATAGCAATAATGCACTTTCCCAATCCCCGGGGCATGTCCACTATGTCGACCACGGGAATATGGGCGACACCGCCAGCAGCCCACTTTTTAATAGTGCAGCGTGCAGAAAGAACGATGATTTGAGTGTTGTACTATCCGATACGTATAATCTCGTTCTCATCGTTGATAGCCATGACGTTGTAGCGAGCCTGTTGGACAGTCATGCCTCTGTTGAATTGGATAAGTCTTTGGCTGATGCCCTGACCTTGCGAGTCTTGCCAGGCGAAGGCGACTGGCTCCTGCTCATGGTTTAGGGTGATGCCGTAGAAAACAGGCTGGCCCACACGGTAATTATCCTCTAGAAAGGCCACACCTTGGCCTCTCGCCCCTTCGGTGATAGGAGCATCCTGCTTTAGTGTTCCAACTGGAACACTGTAGTATCCAAAGTTGTGCGCGGGGAGTTTGGCCTCTCCCACAACTGGTTCAGTTGACAACCATGCGTGGAAAACATGCTGGATGAAAAGTTGAAAGTGTCTGACATTAACAACTTTGTCGGCAGTGGGAAACATAGCCCCGATTACCAGATCAACAAGGGTGGAAAGTACCCTCAATTTAGAAAAGGTTAAGTTAAAATAGCCATGGATTATAGAACTAGTCTGTCGATGGGTGATCACGGATACAGCTTGAAGTGCTGCGCCGTTAAGTGGCTGATATGGTGGGAGGGCGAAAAGATCGACAGGAGCAGGCGCAAGAGCAGGAAGATGGCGGCCAGCAGCAGTATTAGAGCGATCGAGCCAATAGTGATCATTGTCCTGGTGACGGATAGGGGATCTGGAGCGACCTTCAGTGCGACCCTGTTGACGTGTGGGAATTCTCCAGTCATGACGACCACGATCTACGAACGCTTTAGTATAACTGCATTTGGTAAATGCGATGGTACAAACTCACCATTTCCGCGGAGGGGTTGGATTTGGATGAATCATCAGCCATGCTGGGCGAGAAGGTGAGAGGAGATGTTTCCGTAAAGTTGAAAGGTTTCCTGTATTTGCTTTCGGTGAAGGTAAAAGAGCAAAGTGCTAAGGGGAGAGGACGAAATCGATTTAGAGAAATTAGCTAGAATATTGTTGATGTGCTGAACAATATGGCTACAGGAGTAAAGGTAGCAGCGCAGTCTGTTCTACTGTGCCAGCTGTGTAGAAGTGGCATCGCAATGGTGGTGACTGCCCATCGTCTACTTGTCTGAAACAGGTAGCTACCGTACCTAGGTACCTGCTGGGTAGCAGGAAAAATGGCATCCTAAGTCTTAGGGTATAAAAATAAGTAGTCTAAGAAGGATAGTATAAGGGGCATAAGGTGACCTTAATTTCGTCTCTTATGCTTCCAGCGGTCAATTTTTCTGATACCCTGAGGCCCACCCACCTACCTACCTAGTAGGTAACTCAATCACGGAAGGGCATCTTCTTGATATATCCCATATATGTTTTTGACATCTGCTGAGTGATGATATCACCATCTGGAATTATGTAAAGTGCAAGGTCGTTGTTACAACCAGACAGTTTTGCGTTGAAGCCCTACCCAACACTTGAAAGGGAGAGCAAGCATCTCAAGCAGTTTACCAAACCAGCAGGCTTTTGGAGTTCTAGCAAATTGAAGAAGAATTTTGTTTTCGATATCCCGATAGTATGTTATGATGATCTGTTGGAATGGTATGTATTAGTCTTAGAGCTCCCCGTCTGGCAATGATAAGTCACTCACCACACGCTCACACCCAGGCCAGACGGAACTCATGGCCTCTAAGCTTGATGCCGTCTAATAATCAGAGGAGCGAGGCGGCATGGCATGAGATGAATTCGATACCACTGGCGAGTTTAAGAGTGTGTTATATAGTGACAATATTAGAACATAACTGTGATCTTTCCAAGCTCCGGTTCGTCTGATCCCTTAACGATAGTGAATGAGTCAAAGCTTAGAAACAAGACTAACAGCCAATTCTGAGTGACGTCAGTCCATGTTGCCTTGAGCTGAGGGATCACAGGAAGACAATACTCGGTAAATCAAGAGAGGCTGCACATTGAGATACATTGAGCTTGACACTGACGCAATCTCTGATGCGTTGCTAGTCTGAAACCGTGTGGCTGATTTCCTTTGAGGGCGAGAATTCTGTATGCCAGTTTATGAAACAATCAGGAAAGAACAAGAGACGCACGTTCGGAGATGAGCATTGAAATGAATATCTGGTAGTCTAAGAGCTGGTCTAAGCCACCATGAAGTGACCGGATTAGTTTGTCTTGAATATTGCTAGAGTTGGAATCTCTGCTATTCGGGTATCAAGACAAACAGAACATGTGCGGTCCTTTAAGGGATACGCATGTATGGGACCAATATTAAAAACAAGATACAATCACGTTCATACCTGTCATAGTATATAGTACATATAAGTAGTCAGGTTAAGCGTATTTGTATTTCCTTTTGTTTTCTGTTAGTGTTGCTGGTTCGCTGTGGAGCTTTGTTGGCCGAGGCTCCGTTGTAGTGTAAGCTTGTACCTGCATCGTAGGCAGTGATTGGCTTAGACAGCTCCCCGCCAAGACGCCAGCTTGAACCTCCTCCATCTCCTTTCACGGAATACCCATGACGTTGCTTCTTGACTCCTCCCTCGATAGCTCAACCTGTTCCTCACTTTTACATCAGCATCGTGTCTTCAACGCTCTCTAATCTCCTGTCGCCTCCGTCTCGAATATGCCGTCGTGTAGAAATGCTGCATCTGTCATCCAATAGTCGCCTTAATCCACGCGCTCGTCGCTGAGCGACCTCCCTTTCCTGCAATGGCTCCTGAAGTCCCGAGCAACATCCGCGTCTTCATACGCTGGCATGACCAGACTGTCTTCGCCGGCGAGGAAGTCAAATGCACCATTACTTTTAAGAACGTAGCGCCTGTACCAGGCCAGTCGAAACCACCGCCGCAACAATCGGAACGAAGTCGACTGGCCTCGCCCTTGCATACCCGTCCTAGGTCAAACCAAGGCTTGACCCCTCCGCCGTCAGCATCGTCAGGTCGAGGACACCGCCGCTCTGCTCTTTCATTGAGCGTTCCTGCATCTCAATCGCATAGCCGGACAGGTTCAGTACAATGGCCCTCATCACCAATAATAGGCGATCGCAGTTCGAGCCACTCTCACAAACGTTCCGTTTCCATTGTCTCAATCGGATCGAACAATACTTTGGAAGACCATACACAACGCAATGATCTTCCAGCGAGACCTCAAAGACCGCATCGCGGTCATGGGCGCGCTTCGAGTTTACAGATACTTCCTCGAGTGCAAGGCCAACTTCCGACTGGACCTCATTCTGGTAGATTACTTCTGTCCTCTCCCTTCACTACTAGCTAACCAGCGACAGCCTCTTTCTCCCCCCACCGTCTTTCGAGCTCACCATTATTCCACGCTTCATATCCTCCGCCTGACCGATTTGGCCGAATATCTCGTTCGCCGACAAATTCTCAATCCCCTATAATGCAAGGCCAACGAAGAGCATCTCCGCTGGGATCGCCTGAAAACCCGATGCCGGAATTCCGCTTCCCTGCCGCGCCTTCACCTACTCGGGAGGCACGCCCAACGTTATCTAGAAGATCAACGAATGAAAACATGCTCAGTCCTAGAAATGCTGCAGGTGATTCTAGCGGGTTGGCAGTTCGTCTTAAAGACGGCGTCCCTACTATCAACGAACAAGTCGCCCCTGCCCCTGCAGCCCGGATTTTGGCAAGCAGCGGAATTTTGGGGGGAACGCCGAGAAGCAGCGGAGAATTTTACTCAGTCAGCAACAATTCATCAGAGACGCTGGTTTCAGAATACGTAACACAGCCACTTAATCGCGGACATGCGCGACCACTCAGGCGAAGCCTTGGTATGCCCGCGCCACAAATGAGAGCACCAGAGTCTCTCATGATGGGCTATGCTCAATTGCACGGCTCTTTCTCATTAGACGGCTCGTTGGTTAGTCTTGGACAATTCGATCAAGTCAAAAAGAAGGGCATTGTCGGGCAGGGAGGTGGCGTTGTTGGACTCGAATCCAAACGTGATAGCAGTCTGCTTGGAGGTTTTGGGTGGGGTCGCCTCAGCAGCTCCCTCGGTGACTTTCTGGGCGGAGGAGAGCTCAGCACGATCAAGGAGATGCGTGGTGTTGCAAACTCCAAATCTGTACCGCTCTTGACGACACCACAGTCTATTCTGTTTGTCGATCTGCAGCTGGCCCCTGGAGACAGCCGTGTGTTCGAGTACTCATTTCGACTACCAAAGGGACTACCTCCTTCCCACCGCGGAAAAGCGGTCAAAATTTCTTATAGCCTCGTCATTGGCACTCAAAGGGCCGGTGGCACCAAAGAGCAGCAAGTCAAATCCGTCGAAGTACCCTTCCGAGTTCTAGGAAGTGTAAATAGCCACGGCGAGATTCTAGGGCATGATTTGATGAATCCTTACATTTTACTACAGGATCTCGCCCAAGTCAAAAGCCCGCCAAGCAGTGACAAGGTCAGTGATAAGGCACCAAAGACCAATGGCGATGGAACGAAAGGACAGCAGTCAGCATTGAATGACTTTTTACTTTACGTGGATGACCTGGCTCATCGGCCAAGAGATGAAAGTGGTAGTATTCTCCTTTCTCCAGGTGCCGGTAACTCTAGGAGACCATCGACATACGAGGAAGCAAGTACCGCGCACGAAGCTATCCACATGGCAATCATGCGAAGCAATATGACGTCTGGCGGGCAACAGAGCCCAAACCGTTTCGAAATTGCTCGCAACGGGCAAAGAGTTGGTGTAGTAATGCTTACAAGGCCTGCCTACCGACTGGGCGAAGTGGTGACAATGGCCATTGATTTTACTAATGCGGACATTCCATGTTACGCAGTGCATACCACGCTGGAAACATCAGAGAGGGTAGACCCGTCTCTCGCAATAAGGTCCGAGTCAAGTATCCATCGAGTGACACGAAAAGTTTACTCATCATCATCTGAGGCAACAATGTACTCACGGCGGGTTACGTTTAAGCCGACAATTCCAATTACCGCAACCCCCGAATTCGTAACCAGCGGCGTTAGCTTAGAGTGGAAGATTCGTATCGAGTTTGTGGTGCCTTCTACAGGCAGCGATTCTCCAGACGAGAACGAGAGACGCGCACCTCATCCGCTTCTCGAGCAGATTTCACAAGATGAAAAGGGAGGAACAGTGCTTGTGGCTGTTGAAAATCTGATATGCGAGAGCTTTGAGATTGCGGTACCCCTGCGAGTTTACGGAGCCGTTGGAACAGGACTTGAGCGTCTTGAACGAGATGAAGCGTCTGAGGAAGGTCTTGTAGTATAAGGGAGTTGAATATTTGACCATGATGAAATTTTCAATAACTCAGGCTATAAAGAAAGGCCTTGTTTCACAAAAGGGCGTTTGGCGTTAGCAGGAGATATTCAAAAGAGGAGGAGTACGTATAATTGAAGGAGACGTGTTTAGAAGCTCGAGCCATTGGCGTGAGTATGTATATGCAGGTGTATTATAACTGTGGTCCTATGAGTTGTTCATGCATTTTAGGATTGTATTGCCCAAGCAAACCATGCTCTTAGCTAAGGCTTGACGACAACGCGTCTCCAATATTTGAGGCTGTCGATGTTTGTTTATGTCTTAAGACATGGGTTCAAGTAGGTTTGACGGTTATGGTTTGAAAAGGAGACTCGTGCACAGATGATTGATTGCCTCGCTGGAGTGCCGGGATTAAGTGATCGGCTGGTCTAACGAAAGCCAGCGCACAGGGCCTTCCAGCCTGAGCTAATAAGTGTGACAATCACGATTAACAGATACAATAGAAACAAGCGAAAAATGGCCGAAATCTACGGATAGAGGTACAAGACTAACAGGGACGGGAGAGTATTGGGAGCATCTTCATTTCACTAAGCGCCGGGATTAGTTAGACAAGCGGATAACGGCTATGGAGTAGCGGAGAAGATAGGG